CCCCCTACTCCTGACAGCTAACAAACGAAACTACAAAATCGCCTCTAAGTCTACGTGTTCGCTAGGGAGGACTTCCGTAAGGAGCGACCCCTATGAGACAGCAGAATTGAGGGCTTGGGGTAGGGTTAGGGGTAAGGGTAGGGTTAGGGGTAAGGGTAGGGTTAGGATTAGGGGTAAGGGTAGGGTTAGGGGTAGGGTTAGGCCGGTTAAGTTAGGGTTAAGGTTAGATCTAGGTCTTGGCCTCTTCTTTATTGTGTTAGATGGGGTGGTCGCTCGGGAGGACTTCCGTAACGAGCGACCACCCCATCAAACACAATAAAGAAAAGGCCTAGACCTAACCCTACAGGCTACCCCTACCCCAAGCACTTAATTCTGCTGTCTCAGTGGTCGCTCGTTACGGAAGTCCTCCCGTCGCTCGTTACAGAAGTCCTAGGCTAGACCTAGATTCTATATCTAAATAACCAGGAATAACGATAAGTACAACGACAACTTCTTAGGTGTAGCCGCAGTTACTATACGTTGATTCGGTCTCGAGTAATCACTGAAAGATAACTGGTTACAGCTTGTCGAGTTGAACCTCCTTTCTTCAATAATCCATCAATGAATGATAGTGAAGAAAATGCCAACTTAGTAACGGGCGGATGGATGTCCATAAACAGCTTGATACCTCGAAAAGCAGCGATAATAACACATCAGGAATATCACTCCTATTATAAAAGAATTAAAACACAGTCAAAACCATCAAATAACAACGATGACGATGATAGCCTACTCACCTTGTTCTTAGGCTGCTAGACTATACGGCCATTAACCGGAAAAGGAAGTTCCTGAATGTTGAGAAATAGATAAAGACAGGCGAAACAAAAAATAAACCTTTCGACGAAAAAAAGGGTGAAATTTTGTTCTTTACATTTATTTCCTTACTATATAACTTGAATTCAATGTTTTAAAACCCATACAGTATAATGGACTATCACAGTAGAATAGAAAATACCCAATAATAAAAGTTTAGTCTGTTATAAAAGCAGGTACATGTTTTAGGCTAGTCTAGCGGGCGAAAGGGCCTACGCTTTTTCCTAATTTCTTTAAACCAAAGAGCTCCGTCGAACCGCTTGGCCTTCGAAGTGTGCGAGTGTGGGCTGGGCTCCATTGGTCCATTAAGTTTTTCTTATAGGCCTAGTGCGGTCAAAAATTCGTGGCTCAACTTATTGTCAAATATTTTATCAATTATAGAAAGGATACTCTCCAACTTTTTCCGAATGACTTTTATCAATTTGTCTGGATTTGTCTTAACAGAAATAACAGATGAATGTTTTTTTAACGCCTGTAGGCCACGCTGTATTCTAGAAAATTCCTATACAAATGCGCTACTTATTAATTTTTAAAAATCCCAGTCTATGGTTTCTACAGGTAGATATATTCAAAAGATTAAGGCCTAGATCTACATCCCATAAGCTGGGAAAATAATCCTTTCAAAAGCAAGTCCGTCGTTGTTGGGTTTTTTAAATGGGGACACTATTAGGAACTAATTATGTTTTGAGAATCTTTAGTACAATTAATAATGGGGAACACGTTTGTATCTTGGTTGTTTGTTTTGTTTGGGTTTGTTTGTTTTGTTTGTTTGTTTGGTTGGTTGTTGTTGGGGGGTTCTCTTTTGTTTTTATAAAAATCCGTTTTTACAGCCACGTTTAATTACACTAGTTCAACAAACTAAAACGCACCGGCACAAATAAGTAATAACACATCGTTACTGACTGAATAGGAGTGGGTTTTAGATATAGGGGCTCACATTGTGTAGAATCGAGCATTCTTTTAACGGTATTTAACAGAGTCATCAATAATTACGGCATCAAACCAAGTATGAGCAGAAAAGCTTTACAATTTCTCTTGTCATAATTTATCAGGAGATCGTGATTATGCATAGACTTAAGTTTTACCACCAAAAAGTGTCAATGGTAAGCTAAGGCAATGTTACACGTGTAGCATGCAAGGGTGTTATACTATAGTTATAAGGCCCTTTGTAGTATTTTATAGAATATTGATGAATAAAAAAGTTTTTTTTTTTTTGTAGCCTAAATTGTTGTGGGGAAAGTCGATTATGTAAAGACCACTTGATGCAAACTGCAGTGCAAAATAATGAGCGATGGATTGAGCCATTTTAGGGAGATGTTTGGAGATAAGTTATGCCACGGATTTTTGTTTGACCGCATCACAGTGTGTTTGGCGTCTTTTCCCACTAGGCTACCCTTCATTTCGCGTCAAATTGAACAAAATGGTGCTCGGGTGCTCTCGTGGCCTAGAGGTACCGTAAAGGTGTTCGCCTCTCATTCAAAGGTCCTGGGATCAAATCCGTGTAGCGACGTAAACATTTTTTTCTCTAAAATTGTTTCCTTTAACCTCATTTCCTGTCCTCTATCAATGTTCTATCGTCTGCTGTCGTCTCAATTTTCTGCCCCCACCCCCTTACATCCTTTGCCCTCCCCCCTCTGCTGCCTTTCACTGCTACTCTTCTTACTTCTGTCTTTCTGCCACATCCCTGATCTTCCGGTAGGAAAGATCGACACCTAGACTTCTCGGACAAGGGCGAAAAATCTCGGAGGTCCCAAGTGCAAGTTGCGTACGTTAAAGATCCCTT